TCACTCAATAATACTATTAGCAGGATGGAGAAAATTTTAGTTAAATATATATATATATATATATATATCAGAAAAGTGTTTTTCAGGATGTCATGGCAGTCCTGGCAGCATCCCGGCCCTCCATCATGTGGGCTTCGAAAAACAGCATCCCCTATATATATAATGTGTTAGACATTTTGACTCTCTTAAACACTTATAATTATTTGAGGTGCATCTGTTAATAAGGTGGTAAATTACAGAACAATATTACCTATGTGTGTTTAGAATTAGTTAAAAGAACCAAAAAATTATATATATATATAAAGCTAACTCTCCTTTACTAGATTCAAATTAAATACCTTTAATCTGTTATTATTGTGTTTCATGTATGTAATCTTAATTATAACTTGTTTGAGGTGACCATTCTGTGAACTTGGATGCATCTTCATTCTTGCCATTCATATTGTAGGCTTAGATGATGAGTTGAGACAAGTGTGTAATGTTGTGTGTTCTCCTAACATTACTGGTGTTGTTTTCCACAACTTTGTGCTAAGGAAATTTGAAGGAAACGCTGGAATCCTTGCTGAATTAGCTGAGCTCTTAGTCTTAAATGTTAGCTGAACTTTGAGTGTATGTGATTCTATGTGTAGACGACCTGTGGTTGTAAGTTTAAGGGTTGAGTACCAGTGGTACTCCTAATAATGATATTTTTGATGTAATGTTGTGATTCTGCTCTTCAGTAACTAGGGATGGTCTTTAATTTTTGTAGTTTTGGGTGCTTGCACCCTTATTAATTAGTGAAATTGTTTACCAACTTGTTAATTAATTAATTAATGAAATTGTCTGCTGATGGGATATATCTGCTATCCTTTCAGTTCTAGTCACTCATTCCTATGAAACTGGTAACATGAATTGATGACAAATCTTTTTGTGAAATGCTTCAGCAAAGAGAACGCCATTGAACTGTACTCTATGCATACTAAAGAAATTCCAACTCACAAGCCTGAAATGGAACAACACATGCAGGTTAGACCTCCATCTTTCCTCGTACAGATTAATTTTCCATGAATATTTTTCCGACAAAAGGGCAGTTCAAAATTTATTGCTTTTCATGGAAAACAGAAACAATTATAGTTAAGAAAGTATAAGGGAAGGTTTGGTGTTTGAGTGGGGGATCCTTACACAATCTGAGTTAAGCATAGATGATGCATACCTAATTTTTAGTGGATTAGAATAAAAATTAACTTGGTTGCTAGTCTGCTGCTTTTATTGTTTTTATCATGGTGTTGGACTCTAAATCCATGATTTAGGAAGTTAATAGTTTCAAAGCTTGTAAAAGTGCTTATTCCAGTCTCCTATAAACAAGTTGCCAAGGGGGCAGTCCAAAATATGGTTATAATTCCTCATCAATTTGAGCAAATCTTCAATTCCAAGCATTAATCAAATCCATGCAATCTTTTGTTTGAACTAGTTTTGTGGCTTGATTCTTTAATACATAAGATTGGATTTCTCTATATATAATCTATATTACATCTTCATTGCTCTCATCAAACAACTCACTTCACAAGTTATGGTAAATTACTAGCCTACAGCTGCTAATAATACTTTTCAGAGTGCAACCCTTGGGGATTGAAACAGAAAAATTGTTTAAGAAGATTGAGTTTTTGGTTGTTTCTAGAAGGTTAAATCAACAGCAAATTTGTTTAAGAATGAGTTTCTGGATGTCTCTAGAAGGTTCAATATTCATTGAATGCTTATGTCATGTTACTTCACCTGATCATCCAGGTGAAAGCGTTTCTAAAGTTTGAAATTTTGATGTCATACAGGAAGTTGTTGGGTCAAGGATTGGGCTAATGTTCTGTTAAGGAGCTTCAAGAGATTGATAGAGCGCTTTCTAGCTTGAAAAACATCAGGGCAAGAAAGGTTTGCAACCTTTAGTTTTGCACTTTGACTAAAAACAGTTGCATTAATGAATCAATACATGATTACAAGACTTCTGCTTTTGAATGAAAATTAGCATTTGAGTTACTATCAAATGACAAAACTATCAAATGAGCTTTTTGTCATTTTTATAGAGAATTTGCACCGTTATTGGACCCTTGTAGACGTACAACAGCCACATTTCCTCAGACTGGCCTCCTCCTTTGGTTATACTCATAGATAGAGCAGCAACCCACATTACTTCAACAATTTAAGTGGTCCAAGGTCTCCTCTATGATGTGGGATTGAAGTCTCTAATATATCCTGTACTAGATTCTTCATTGTGCCTTCTACCTACATGTAAGGGACTTTGGCTTGACATTCCTCATATCATTAATCTAAATTTCTGCACTGTACTAGATTTTTCATTGTGCCATGCATTTATCCATATACAATTCCTAGACAATAGTTGACAATTGTGTTTGCTTGCATGAAAGTACATAGACTAAACATGTTATGTCTTATATTATAGGTCCAGTTGTTTAAGGAGCAATTAAAGGAATTAAAGGCCAAGGTAACAATAACTCCCTTTGTTGAATTAAGCATATATTACTTCAGTCTTCTAGCTGTAAGCTACTTAACAGTGTGCCTCCTGATTTTTTTCTCAATAACACATTTTGTCTTAATTTAGGAGAGATTGTTGTTAGAAGAAAATGTGAAGTTATGCCAAATGGTGAGCCTTTAATTTTCAAATCTTGTAGTTATTCTTTTACTTATAAAAAAATTCCCACAATTTGCCATAGAAACTAACACTACATTGCAAAAGCTAGGTTGTTGGATGATAGGGGCTATCCTACAATGAAGACCCCCTCATCCATTGATCAATATTTTACAATGTGGTATAATATAGATTGCAAAACACTATTTTAAAAGAAAATAAATTATCTAACTCTTTTGATATGGATAATAGTGTGGTGGTAGGAGTCATGGCAACAATAACTAATCTAACAAAGGAAAGCAATAAGCGATTGCATCCAAGATAATCAATGTGCAGAAGTTGTGACAAAATTATCAAACTACAATAAAACCATTAATATCAACTGTCTGAATTACTTTACTGTTGAAATTATAGTGCTGCCCCAAATAATGTTATATGTTTGGTGTATCTTGTTAGTTAGTGCACTACCTTTCTCTTAAATTTTTTCTTCTTTAATTGTGTATGATCTAAATGTAACTATAGTGTAAAAATACCATAAAAAATTTAGAGAAGTTGTTTGGGTATCTTGACATTATGAAAAATATCAAAACAGCCTTGTTCTTGTTTTAAAAATAAGTTGTGTTAGTATTTTTCATTATAAACATATTGAAATCATTTAATTTTAGGGTGTATATTTTTCAAATTCTTAGAGATTCCAGTAGTAAACTATTTTTCTTTAATATTTTTAATTCTACTTTTGTAATTTATTACTGTAAATAGAAACATCAATTTTCTTTGGATAATGTAGATATACACACAGAACTGACACCCGCCTCGTCACACATGCAGTATAGAGGAAAAAATAATGTTTTATCCTGATAAATGCTTATTCTTAACTTGTCTTGATGAGTAGTTTGAAATTTAGACCTGTTTTTGTAAAAACACCCCTTTGAAGTACGATCACCCTTCTCCATTTCTCCCTTGGCCTTCACCTATAGCATCGATGTCGAGCAGGCATTGATGACATGTGCCCTATCCTCCCTTTCTTCTTCATGTGACTTCTTTTTTTATCACTATCTTCTCCACTTCTCCCCTTCTTGATTTCGTAATGTGCCGACCTCGTTCAGCAAAGGAATCTAAATATGGGTTTCCACCCATCTTCTTCTTTAGAAGTCACCTTCCTTCTCTCAAATCTATTCATCTCCTCTTCTTTCTTCAGATCTGGGCTCTCTTAAATTTTGTTTATTTTCAGTTTTTTTTCTCATCATTTGTTTCTAGTTTTCTTTGTTGGATTTTGTTTGTTTTTAGTGAAGACAAAAGAGAAGAAGTGTAGAGAGAATGGTGAAGACGGAGCTACAAATTTGGTGGCAAAGAAAAGGTGTTTGGGGTTAAAATTGATGAGATTTCCAATCGAAAGCCTCTTGTTTCATTTCTGCAAGTTTTCACTGCCAACCTCATTCTCGCTACAACAGAACATAAGGCAGCTAGTTGAGAAACAAGAATCTAGGTTCTAGTTATTATCTGTGTGGAACCAAGACTAGAGCATAGCTGGGTGAATGGCTGTGGGGTTAAGATATTCGTCTCCTATTCCTAATTGACCTATAAATATATTTTTAAAAGAATGTAACCCGTCCAGTTTTGAATTGGTGTATACGTAAATCATTATTTATTCTCCTTTTTTCATTCTCATTAATTACATGATTAAAATCGAAAAAATTAAGAGAAAATTCCTGTAAAGTGGGTCTACTAAATATCTTCTTTAAATAAAGTGAATGTTAAATTTTAAGTCTTGTATAAGTAAAAATACTTCAATTAAATTCCTCATATAAGTGTACTAGGGGTTTTTTGAAAAGTCTAAAATACAATTTTTTAATAAATAATTAAAATGTTAGGTACTTATTAATGTTAATTAAATAAATTTTAAAATTCAAAAATAACAATAAGCAAAACGCTCCCTCTCCTTTCTTTTATTACTTTGATTAATGATTTTTATTTTAATGCATGAACATAATTCAAAATTATAGTTTTAATTACAAAAATTGTGATTTTTTTTATTAATATGATTCATGTAATTAACCAAATTCTTCTAATCGTTTTGAGTAAAAAAAATATTTTGATCTTTAATTGTTAATTAAAGTAAAATATTTTAGGTAACTAAATTTTTAATTGTAATAATTAAAAAAATAATTTTAAATATAAAATAATTTAGAACCAAATAAAATATATTCTTTTCTAATGATAAACAATATAGTGAGAAAATTTGAGAGAGAGACTCTTAATTGTCAATTTTTTAATTTTATAGTAATTTATTTAATTAATATTAATTGATAAAAATTTAATATTTTAAATATTATACCATAAAAGGACATTATAGACTGTTGACATGCCAAAATGAATGGAGTCGTCATCTATCCAAATGAGGTGGGATAGATCACCAAGGTCTACGTAGAAATTGACAAGCTTGGAGAGTCGATTAAGCATGGGGAAGGTGTTAGGCACCTCACAATACAGTCTTTCATATGATTACCACATACTTTAATTTTGGAGTATTTTCAATTTGTAATGACAATAATAATAATAATAATAAACAAAAAAAAATCACTTCCAAAAGAACAAAGAATCTGTCATCATTTCATTTTTTTTTTCAGTTTTCATTTCTTTTTTTTTTTTAATCTAATTTTTTTTTTGGTGAAAAAAAAAACAAAAAAAAAAACTTATGATATGAAAATGAAACTAACCTTTCTAAAGAAAAAAAAAAAAATTCTATTCATTATCTTAGATTTCTAGGGCAAAAAAAAACTATTTCATTAATACCCAAATCATCACACAAGCAAAAGCTTTCAAATCGAAGTTCAGGGGAACAAAAAAAAGTGACTAACTTACAATGGTAATTGGTTCTGCTAAACTACTTTGATAAAAAATAAATAGCCATGAAACCAGGGGGATGAGTAGAACTGGAGAAAAGCATATGAAGAAAGAAAATATGCATGCAACAAGAATGTACTCAATAAAAATCTTCTCAAACTGAACAGATTAATATAGCAACCAAGAAACAAAAGATACGGAAAAAAAAAAAACAGATACACAAAATTAAGACTCAAGATCCAAATTCTTCCATAAAAAAAAAAACACACTTGTAATGGAGAAAAGCCAATTTATTTATTTGCTGTAAACTTCAAATACAAGATTTCTTCCTTCTTTTGCTTCACACTCTCAGATCTCTCCCCTTCTCCCTCAATTTTCGAATGTCCCCCTAAAAACAAAGGAGCCCCCTTGTTATAGACAAAGGGAAAAACCCAATCCTAATGTGCTTCTAATACTCAATCCCAATACCTAAGATAACAACCCAATCCTATTTGGAATTGGATTTCTTAGCTTTCCCCTCATTTCCCCCTTTTCAAGTGAAGATTCATACCTTTTGTGTTTGGAACTCCCCACTTTGAATCCATTTCAAACTCTTCTTTTGTGCCTCTTATTGATGACTTTCAATTTTTGAAAATGTCTTCAAAACTTGAGTAGATTTGGGGGCCAAGGAATTATTGTGATTTTTTTTTTTTGTTTGAAAAAGGTTGGGGGCAAAGCAATGGGATGAGTCTTGGGTGGCTAGGGTTGTTTATTTCCACCTACAATCAAAATGATATCGTTTTGTTGATTCCTCACTTCAAGTTTCACTTTTTTGCAAAAATAGTCCATAGACCTCTAGTTTTATCATTTAGCCCCAATTAAAATTGGGTTATGATAGTTGCCCCCTCTTTACTTTTCTTTTTTACAAAAAGAAAAGTAAAGAATAAAAGAATAACCCAATTTTAAGCTTTGAAAACAAATTATAAGTGCAAGCTTCATCGTATTCCTTGAGATGCGATCTTCATTTTTACTTCTCTAAAAATGCGATCTTCATTCAGTATGTGACTTCTAAGATCTTTGCAAGATGTGGTCTTCATCTCTCTTTCTTCCTAAGATGCCACTTCATCTCTTTTTCTTCCTAAGATGCAACTTCATCTAGGATGTGATTTTCTAGGATGAAACTTCATCTTTCTAAGATGCAACTTCATCCCTTCTTCTTTCTGAGATGCAACTTTATCTAGGATGTGATTTTCTGAGACGCAACTTCGTCTTGTCTAAGATGCAACTTCATCCCCTCTTCTTCTTGAGATGCAACTTCATCTAGGATGTGATTTTCTGAGACACAACTTCGTCTTTTCTAAGATGCAACTTCATCCCTTTTCTTCCTGAGATGCAACTCCATCTAGGATGTGATTTTTTGAGATGCAACTTTGTCTTTTTTGAGATTTTCTGAGATGCAACTTTGTCTTTTCTGAGATGCAACTTCATCCTTTCTTCTTCCTGAGATGCAACTTCATCTACGATGTGATTTTTTGAGATGCAACTTCATCCCCTCTTCTTCCTGAGATGCAACTTCATCGAAGATGTGATTTTCTAAGACACAACTTTGTCTTTTCTCTTTCTTTCTTTCTTTCTTTCTTTCTTTTTTTTTTTAGATGCAAACTCCATCTCTTTTTCTCAATTGGCAATGATCATTTTGCTAGCTTGAGCATTTTTTTGAACATTAGATAGCTTCAAATTTTCCTGTGACTATCACAAATCTTTAATGTATCAAAGGCAATAGTGAATGAAACAATTATATTAAATGAAGCATCAAGTTTTTTGACTATTTAATGTTCCAACGAAGGTATGGAAATGAAGAATAAATGCAAAAAGGAATTTTCAAAATTTATTAAGGAGAAATGAAACAATGAATCGAGTATGAAGAAAGCTTTGAACATATAGCAATTAAAGGGCAGCAAATGCTTGCTCAACAATTCTTCTACAATAGTGATATCATTCGTTTCTCAACACATTGAAAACACGTCCCTTTTTACACTAAGGTCAATGACTCAGTCTTAGTTCCCTTTTCATGGATCATTGCTATGTTTTCCTTCTTGATTATCTCCTTTCAATAGATCTTCTTGCTGTCATCAGCCTAAGTTGCCCTTTTAGGTTTTCAACTTAGACCTTGCCCCCACTTCTTCTTCTTCTTTTTTGTGTTCATAGATGAGCAAGCTACAAATCCTCTGATAAGGACTTTACATTGGCTGGTCTCGTGGTTTAGGGCTCGGCTAGTTAGAAAGAAAGGATAAAACAGCTCAAAATGCCCTTTTCCCATTGAATCCCCTCACTAACACTCTTTTCACCCCAGGCTCTTAATGTAGGACAATTTAGAAAGAAAAATCATCTTGGCTTTTATAAGTTAGACGATTGCTTTTTCTTTTGGCTCAAAATAGGTTTCTAGGGATGATTTCATGTGTAAAGAATAAAAAAAGATAGCCTTTCATCATTGGATTCTTTGCTTCCTCATCATGAACACTTTTCTTTGTTTTGCCTAGACTGCCTTATTGGGTTTTCAACCTAGCTCTCTTCTCTCTCTCTCTTTCTCTCTTTTTAAACACATAGTATTTCTTGATAGCATTTGCATTCATCGAATGTGAGAGATCATTACCATTAGGATAAGCTAATAATAAAGCTCCTCCTAAAAGAGCCGCCTTCACAATGTAAAAACCATCAAAGTTTGGAGCAAAATTTCCCCTTGAATCCCTCTCATCGGGCAAAATTTTCTTCAAAACAACATCTTTTCTTGAAACCTTTAGGGCTTGACTTCCCTATTTTATGCTGTAGCCATTCTGATTAGGCTACAATTTAGGTTTTCCTCTCAATATGTCAATCAGTTTAGGAAAAGGTTCTAATTCTTCATCATTTTCCATAGGACAAATCAGTTCATCAAAACTATGTGTAAGTTCAAGAATGATATCACTATTGTCGATTTATTATCGACAAACCTGGAGATGGAAATTTTGGCTAGCATGAGAAAATTGAATAAAGCAAAAGAAAATGAACAATCTGGCATATGAAGAGAAGGAATGAAAATGAAAGTAACATCATTGATTGAAATGAACTAAATGGAACATTATTTGTTATGCCTACAATGCTTCATAAAATATAAAAGGCTTGTTTCAACCATCTCTTCTTATGGTCACAAGCTCAACCATAAGAAGATTGACACATCTTAAGATTTAATGATAGGAACATGAAGAATCTCTACTGTCTCGTTGTCCAAAGATTCACCATGAGCAGGCAGACTAACCTTGTCATCATCCATCCCTTCATCAATGATGCATACACTTAACTTCCCAAAAGAAGTGCTTAAACCATCAATATTTGTTGACGTAATCACCTCATGATCTTTATTGGAGTCTTTCTCGATCATATTGACTGTTGGACCATTATGTGTTGGTAAAGGGTTTTTGGTGATATTTAGACCAACAACCTCAGGTTCTGATGCAATTTGTAACTCCTTTGCATCTATAAGATCTTGGACACGCTGCTTTAAAGCAAGACAAGTTTCAAGGTCATGCCCAACACCTCCACTATGGTATTCACATCTTACTTGTGGGTTATACCATATTGGAAATGGTGGATTTAATAGCACCATAAGTACAGAAGTAATAAACCCAGTTGCTATCAACTATCAAAACACTTGAATATATGACATTGGAAGTTTATCAAAATAGCATCTCTTTTTCTCTTGTTGTGGACGACTTGTCTCAAAGGCATAAACGGGCCTTGGTTGACTTGTAAAAGCCATTGATTGATAAGTTGGAGCTTGAAGCTGATTGTTGAATTGCCCACGTGATTGATTATTTCTTCCATATGCCTCATAAACTTAGCTTATATTGCCATTCTCATTCTCTTTCTTTTGATTCTGGCCCACTTTCTTTGAACTAGAAACCCCTGAACTATCATTTTGGTGTTGTTCAAGGAAACTATTCATTGCTTGATAATCCATGATAATTCCAGACTTGATTCCATCCTTCACTTGTTCTCCCACAACAACCAACTGGGAAGTTATTAACTTTTCACGATAAGGCCCTTTGGTTGACTTGATGAATAAATTACTTAATTCATGATCAGTTAGTGGAGGTTGAACTCAAGCAACCAATCCACACCATCTCTGAGCAAATTCCTTAAAGTTCTGACTTGGTTTCTTCTCCACTTTTTGAAGATCCTCTCTACTAGGAGCTAATGATGTGTTATATTCATATTGCTTCATAAAGTTATGAGTTAAATCATGCCAACTCTTAATTTTACTCTTGTCTAAAGTTGAGAACCAAGCATCAGCAGGACCTGTCAGACTGTCCTAAAAGTAATGTATCATTAGCTTCTCATCATTGGCATAAGGAGCCATCTTCCTACAATACATCGTCAAGTGGGCATAAGGACAACCAATGCCATTGTACTTATCAAACTCAGGCAATTTAAACTTATGGAGCAGTTGAATGTTTGGGAAAAAGCACAAAGATGAGATGTCAATCGGTTTATTGGTTTGGACACCTTGCATCAATTTTAGTGTTTCCTCCATCAACTGCACCTTCGCTTTAATTGCCTTGTCTTCATCCTCTATGATTGACTTGACAACTTGAGTCTTTTCTTGATCATTAAATTGAACTGTAGCAACACCAGCATTTAGAACAAATGGTTTTGTCCCAGAAGTTCCACCAATAGTTAGATCAAGAGGGCAAGATGACATAGGCTCCTTTCCAAGAGTAGATGTGGCAATAGGGAGATTTGCCGCAGAAACATTTCCTTTAAATAAGGGATTTGTTGTCAAAGGTGCCCTTGTGACCAAGGTTGCTTGAAGAGATTGGAAGGAAGCCAACAATTCCTTCAAAGTATTTTCCATATTTTCAACACGATTTTCCAGAGCTGCCTTCTCTAAATTAGCTTCATCAGCCATCTTCCTTACAAGAGCTCTAGTGAGAATAGGTGAATGAACTCTTGGATAATTCTTTTTAAGACCAATCTTTCAACACCTGAAGAAATATAAGGATTAATAACAAATCATGGATTCGACATTTTGAAAGTTAAGTTCCCAATGTTTCCATTAGATAAATGGATGAGTAAATCTATCTTCCAATTATTTGTTTTACACATGGATTCTTCATTGTCAAGAGCAACTTTAGCCACTTGCATGTAAAGGGAAGGAGAAATTAGAGCCAAGTAACTATCACGTAAGCCAAAAACATGAGGGGATTGCCCCGTTCATGACCTTTTTGATTTTTTTCTCCTTCATATCTTTTCTTCTCTTATATTGAGGAACTTGCTTTTTCTCAATAAATAGAATTCGAGAAAATGTGAAATTTGACTTCAAATGCTCAACCTCAACCGTTTCAAAATAGATTCCATTAATCAACTTTTGAATTCATTGTTGGGTGACTAAATAATAATTGGAAATATTTTTCAATGGTAAGCATGAATTTAAACTCAGAAAAAAAAAAAAAAAGCAAAGCAATGGAGACGCAAGACATAAAATCTTAAGATTGCCCTAATGATTTCCCAATCCAACTCCACTTGCAAGACATCAACTATTCTGCCAAATTTTTTGTCAAACCTCACTTTGTCAAGACTACTTAGACTATTCCAAGCAACAACCAAGTCTTGTACACAAGGTCTTTTGGTCTGCACAGAGAATCCATCCTTGTGTGATTTGTTCTCCTTGGATAACGGTGAACATTCTAACTGTAAATTCACTCTTTTTCCCTTACTGTTCTTTTTCTCCAAAGAATCCTTGTGTAAAATAATCAATTATGTATTTATTAACGAAAAGAAAAAAAGAGAGTTAATAAATGTCATACCTCTTGGTTGAATTCCTCACCTAAGAAACACAAAAGCATTGTCTAAAAATAAAATACTCCCAACGTGTCTTATGTATAAGGTTCTTAAACTTTGAAGGTGATTCACTAGGCTGGCTGCCCTAAGGTTAAGTTTTGTCTAAGTCCATTACATGCGGTTTCCTAATGGATCATATACGATTAGGCTTTTTCAACTGCTAATTTCTATAAGTCAACAATTATTGACTTTCATAAAGTCAACAATTACCAACTTCTATAGAGTTAACAAGAGGCATTTCATGACCTAATACAGCAGCAGCATTATGGCTGTCAAGCCAAATTAACCCACAAAATGAACCTAAAAGAGATAAATCTCACTTCACAATGAGAGCATTGCGCTTTTCATTGCTTCATGAGTTATCCATCTATCTAGAGGTTGGGTTCACCTCATCAAGGACAAAAATGATATGCAAGTGAGGTGTGTGAGGGAGTATACACATAAAGTTAACATATGAAAATAACAAAATATTAAATAAAAAAACAAAATAAAAAAAAAAAAACTTACAAGGCACTCCATGCCACCTACAAAACAAAAGTTAATAATTGAAAAACCCCAAAATTAAAGTACAAATGGCTTGACCCCTCAATGTCCCTAGTGGAGTCGCCAAATTGTTGACGTGTCAAAATGGATGGAGTCGCCATCTATTCAAATGAGGTGGGACAGATCACCAAGGTCTACGTAGAAAATGACTAGGCTCGGAGGGTCGATTAAGCATGGAAAAGGTGTTAGGCACCCCACAACTTTCATATAAATATGGTTACCACATAATAATAAAATCACTTCCAAAAGAACAAAGAATCTGTCATCGTTTCTTTTTTTTTTT